CTGCCAACGAGCTTTGCGCAGGGAATGAGCATCCCAGCTCTTTGTTGTAAGCTACATTCCATGGAACTCTATTTTCAGCTAGTTCACATCTTTGCACTGGCCCACAAACCCCATCTAGCTGTCGAATCCTACAGCTGCAGGTCTCGGTTGAATGCTGCCAGGCCATTGCCACTAGCACCCTAAGAACATAAGAATGGCCAAACTGGGCCAGACCAAAGGTCCATCTAGCCCAGTATCCTGTCTTCTGACTGTGGCCAATGCCAGGTACCCCAGAGGGAATGAACAGACCAGGGAATCATCCAGTGATCCATCCCCTGTCGCCCATTCCCAGCTTCTGGCAAACAGAGGCTAGGGACACCATCCCTGCCCATCCTGGCTAATAGCCATTGATGGACATATCAAACAATACAAGTACTTAGTTTGATACAATAGTAGATACTTTCTATTACTATTCGAGCTCCTTACGTGCCTCCTGTTCGTTGTAACTCACCCAGAGATACTCTCCATCCACCCTTACTGCAAACTTGAGCTTTCTCAGCCGAATGAGACTCGGCGGAGCACTGGAGATCTCCGTTACACAGCGCACCACTCCTGCAATCTGTCCACACAGCAGTTCCTGCTGGTCAAGGAGAGTCTGTGAGAGGAGGAGGAGGGAAGAGTGAATTTTGCAGCATTCTTGGCAAGCTGGAAAGGCACTACATTTACACAGCAGCATGATGGAACTGGTGATGATAAAGTAACTGACGGTGTTTACTATACTATATGGAACAAAGGCTTCATAACACCATGCACTGACTTTTCATCCCAGTCACTGAGGCTGAAGTCTTATTTAAGCACAAGTAACCCTACCAAGAGAACAAGAAGAATTAGTGAGTCTTATCCCTAGGGGAGATTTGTCCAAATCACCACCACAGAATGGGGCATTATGGAGAGGCCCATAACCGAAATAGCAGAGTGCTAAAGAACAGCGTAAGGTGCGCTGCACAGAGCCACATAGGGTACGTCTACACCGCGATAAAATCCAGTGGCTCAGAGTCTTAGATCCTGAGAGAGCTGGCTCAGACTGCGGGGCTAAAAACAGCCATGTAGACACTCAGGCTGGAGCCTGGGCTCGGAGACCCACCCCCCGTCCCTGGGTTCCAGAGTCCAGGCTCCAGCCTGAGCCTCAGTCTCTACACTGCTATTTTTACTCCCAAAGCCTGAGCCCCATTAGCCTGAGTCAGGTGACCTCGGCCAGCTGCGGCTGTGCCATGGTCTTTTACTGCACTGAAGGTGAACCCATAGGGGCCTAAGGCTGGAAAACAAGAAGTGCTGTGGATCAAGACTGAGGTATGTTGGCAGAGCTGCACTATACATGGCCTTAAAAATACAAATAAAATAAAAATAAAGAAACTTTTTATAAACACCGAAGTTACAAATTTACCCAAACCCAGATATTTGCAAGCCCCACCATTCCAAGAACAGAAGGTTGGCTTTGCACATACTTTATATATAAAATTGTTTGCAACTCTACAGACAGAGACAGACCTTTGGGAAAAAATAAAAAAGCAGGCATTACCTGAGAGGGATAAAAGTAGCAAATGCCAGCTCTTGTGGGATCCCCTTCTTCCTTTACCTTTGAGCCATCATAAAGGAAAAAGTAGTTCCACCTGCAAAACCAAAGTATTGACACGATGGAAGATGTTTGCTGTTCCCAACCAAGTCAAATTGATATTTCTTCCAACCCCCCAGTTCTCTCAAGCAGAGCTCTGCTATTTATGATGCGATACACAAGCGTTTAAAAAAACAGGAATGGCAAATGTGCAACATTCCTGCATGCAGCCTCATCCACTGATTTTGGAGATGGAATCGGGGTGGAGAAGGAAGACTCCAAGGATCTGGGCTATTAACTCTCCCAACTTTCTGGGTTTAAAATAGACAGCAAACCTGTGGCTAAGCCTAGAGGAGAAGGATCACAAATCCATGCCTATTTTCCAAGTCTGATAGCACAGAGCATTTATCACTATGTATTTGGGAAAAATTCTCAACTACATGCAGCTTGGAATGGTTTCCAATAGCTTCATTGGCTCTTACTTCATGTTGAACCGACTCCACATGTGCAAAAAAGCACTAAAATGGGAGGTTCCTCATGACCAGTGACGGTCTTAACAGTTTTGGGTCCTTACTGATTTACTCAAAGTCTTTTAGCTACTGTTTTCATTGTAGGCTGCGCATTCCAGTCATAAACTTTGTGCACAAGAGCCCCCAAGCAAGAGTGCTACAAAGAGTGCTAACTAAACCACATGAAGTCTGGAACGAGACGACTGTGCAATTCAAAAGGTGAAGCTAAAGAACACAAGTTATTCTCCACCAAAAAGCAGAGACTAAACTTGGGCTCTCAGAGCATTCCTGGAATGCCCCAAGAGTGAGATAGGAAGGTTGGAAAGGCATTGCTTTAGAAATCAGATCTCAATTCTATCCTTGGCTCTATCACAGATTCCCTATGACACCTGAGGCCAGTCATTTAATCTCTCTGTCTCGGTTTCCCCACCCGTATAATGATGACAGTAATGCCCCTGTGAGGATAAAATTCATCATTGTTTATGTGGCATTCACATATTACTGGAACGAGCACCTTAGAGCCCCAATTGATAGCTTGTGACCCTGCAGCAACTAGCCAGAGACTGGGGGATTCTTCCTCAGGGAGTCTCTCTCCAGTTCTGATAGCATGGGGGCACTATACATGACTCAAACATGCTAAGATGATGTGCACGCACATCTCTTGGCATGTTGTTGACAGGCCCATTGTGGCCTCCACATCAGTCATGCAACATTCCCTTGCAACTCTAGAGGAATGATGAGTGCTACTCACCAAGAAGCTGAGTTAGGTTCTGATAAAATGGGGCTGGCCATTTACATCAGATTTTCTTAATCATGTCTCGTCGCCCTCAGGAGCACTTTCTCCTCCAAAGCAACTGATGCAAACAACTCATTTTTTTCAGCAGTAAATGTATTGTTCCACAAAGGCTCCAGTGGAAACTTAGTGGGTTTTGGCTTTAGGTGATGAATATGTTGGAGATTTTGTTAAAATACTGATGTCAACAGTGTTCCTCGTGGCTTATTTACATGAAGAGTAAATCCACTAAAGTGCCTTCATTTTGGAGGTTTATCCCACAAGAGCTACATGGGAACCTTGCAGAGCCTAGGCAACATTAAAGTCTCTTCAAAACTTGTGTTCATCAATTCTGAGACTGAACCAACAAAGCTACTTTATGAGAATGTTCCAAACAGGAGGAAAACCATCTTAGTGCCTGCAGTGAATGAGAAAGCTCAGAGAGCATGAATATGGTCATCAGAAACAATGAGCTACAAGAGGCAGATCTCAAGACACTACACTGGTTCTTTCAAGTTTATTATTTTGTATTTAAGTGGCTATCTGTGCAAAAAGTCATCACTACACAGAGATTACTGTCAGAAGAGCTCCCATTTAGGGACCTTCTGCTGAAGATACAGTTCCTTGAATAAGTCCTTGCTTGTGTGATACAAAGCTGAATGGTTTCCTGTGGTCTCCAGTGTTGATGTTGCTCTTCTAATCCTAGAGTAAAGAATGAATGGATTAATACTTGGATGCCTTTGTTCAACTGACACGTGACCCTACAGAGAGCAGCTGACAAGCATTCAACAGAACTAACTTGTGCATGAGTGACGCATGGGACAGAAACAAGCCTTCCTTTTAAATAGCAAAATTACATTTAATATGTTTGGAATATTACCTGGTTACATCTGGGCTTAACCATGCATGTTGCTGACAATCAGATAGAAAAGCTCCTAACAGGACTACAAGGAGCTAGGAAAATGATGGAACAGCTAATATAAGGGCTGCAATGCTCACTTAATTGAACCAAATTTGATTTTTTATCTTATTAACAGGAACATAGGGATTGCTATGGCAGATCAGATCAATAATGACCCATCTAGTTTGCTATCCTGTGTACAACAGTAGCCAGTATCAGATTCTTCAGAACAGGCACAAAACCCCTGTAATAGAAAAACCTGCTCACAGGAGAAGTTCTTTCCTAACTCCCATTAGTTAGTGGCTGCCCTTCATTGTTGCCTCTCATCCAAGGGCCTCAACGGGCTCTATCAAAAGTTATGCCTCGCCTCACGATTGAGGCAAGTAAGAGAGCTACTGTGTATACCAAACCCTTCACCCCTCAACCTCTGAAAGTCGGCAACCTCCAGGATAAAAGCATTACACCCCGACTAGGACAAGACGTGAACAATCAGTCACCCACCCAACAAACCGCAGAGGGAATTTAGGGAGCAGAATGGAGTTAACCAAATCGGAATGGTCAGAACAAGAGGGCTAATGCCCCAACTCTTGTGCAAAGCAGCTAAGGATCTTTAGTTACCGGTGCTGGTTACCTCTGTTTTTACTACTCAGCTGAGCCGGGGCCTCTCCACGAGCCGAGTTCCCCCATCACCCCTGACTTGGGCATTGCTCAGAAATGACCCAGAGGAGAGACGCACCCACGACTGAATCACGAACCCGGAGCTCCCACCCAAGCACGGCTCGGGCCCAAACCCAGCCACGTCGGCAGAATCGGAGTTGTGGTTGAAAAAAAGTCTCGAGAGCTGCTGGTTCCCAAGAAAAGGTCCCGAAGCCAGCGGGAAAGGGGAAGTTCACCCCGGCCTCTGCTCCCGCCGCGGCTGCGACTCATCTAGAGCCTCAATCTCCGCACCCCGCGGCGGCGGCGCCAGGGGCAGGAGCCGAACCAAGTTCACCCGCGTCCCGCGCTCCCCCGGGCTTCCGCCCACTTCCCGGTTTGCCAATACGGCCCCGGCCCGGCCCGGCCCGGCCCCGCTCCCGGGGTGCGCCGCCGCCAAGCCGAGTCCCACGGCCCCCTCCTCCCCAGCTCCGTGCCTCTCGCTCCCCCCGCAGGACCCGCCCGCGAGCCCCGGAGCGCCCAGCCCAGCCCGGCCCCCAGCACCTACCTGAGCGCAGCCACTTCCGGGGCTGGGCCCGCCGATCACATGATACCGACACGTGACCGCCCCCCCTCTAACGGGTCCCGGGCGGGGACAGCGCGGTGCGCGCTCGGCCCCTCGAGCCGGCCGGGATGGAGCAGGCCGGGCCCTGGCGCTGCGCGGGCCGCTCGAGGCGAGGCCAGGCCCGCGGGCAGCGGGCGAGGCCGGGGGCCGAGGCTGGGCATAGCGGGGCGGTGCAGCGGCGGCTCCGGGAGGCCCGGTGAGTGCGGGGCCG